TCTACCCCGCGAGGCCAACATCAATCTTGAAAGTATGAAAGTACATTTCTCCCCTTGTCTCCCTTACAGCCCAAGAAACTAAGAAGGGTCTTTTCTGAGTCTCTTGCCCCACCCACTGTCCATCTGCAAGCTATGCTGTCTCTTACCTGACCGTTCCCTTGGCAGCATCTCTTTGCTCAGTCTCCCAAGGTCTTTCCCACCTACCGTTACACCTACCTAGTGCAGAATACTCCCAAAACCCTTCCCAGATTCATTTTAACAGTTAATACACATCTGACCACTTGACAACAGGGATAAATCACCATGAATGGCTCCTTTGAACTTAGGTCCTTCTTGTCTATGGGAAGGTCTTCTCCAGCTGGAATCTGTCATCTTCTACATTTGGTCTGAGAAAGAATGCTGAAGATTCCCCCACCCCTGGATCTCAGGGGACAGAGGTCCAAAGGCAGTCCTCATTATCCTGCAGTCAGGATGGCCCCTTCTCTGTTACCATGAAGAAGGCAGCTAAGAGAGTCCTTTTGCACCAAGCTGTTCCATATTGGGTCTGCTTCTAAATTTATATCCCGTTTTAGGGCTTTTATGATTACTATGATTTATATGCTTTTAATGGTTATATCACGGCTTAGGTTTTAATTATTATGATGTATTGGACTGGATGTTGTTGTGAGCTACTCAGGCTTTTTGACTGGGGCAACATACACATTTTTATACATAAATGCATAGATGTTTCCTCCTGAGAAATCAAGCTCATGTAAATATCAAAATTCTTGGGGGGGATGGATTTACACTGCAGTGTAAACTTGTATTATATACTTATATCTGCAATTTGGCAATGCAATTTATCACTCAAAGAATGAATACAAAAATGCATAATAGAGAAAACTGTGCACCAAAACAAATCTACGGCGAAACATGCATACAAAATGCCTTGTACTATGGAAAACTGATTCTCTCCCCCTACCCCACCCTGCAAAAACCTGTCTACAAAATATAGGAATTAGGGAAAGTGTGTACAGAAATGCATACATTTGGAGGAATGACCTCAAAATGCCTCCATCTTTACATATAGGCACTTTGCAGAAAAATGTTCACAATTAACATGGAAATGATACCAAAATTATGAAAAACTGAACAAAATTGAAGTAGACACAGTCTCCACAAGGAGAATCAATCTGATAATAACCAAACCCTTAATGATTTTAAAAGGGAGCAAACAAACTGTGCACTCTTTCTTATTTGGATTCTCCCCATGTGGCCTCAAGTGGACCTCCATAGTCAGAAGCAGTACATCAGAAAATGAGAGGGGAACAATCAGATTGGCTTTCCACCTTGCATGTGAATTTCCAGAAAGTGCCAAGATGTCCACCAAAGAAATAAGGCACTGAACTGATCTGAGGGAGATAATACCACAATGTTGCTCAATGATAACATACAAGTAATGTTTTTCAACCTGGGCAACTTCCAATGTGAACTTCAATTCCCAGAATTCTAAGCAAAGGCCATGCTGGCTGGGAAATTCCAGAACTGAAGGCCACACGTCTGGTAGTTGCTCAGATGGGGAACTGGTTGTGGGTGAGAAGGAAAGGCAGCATCTGTTGGGTCATTGTCATCCCTGTCTAGAAGAGGAGAAAACAGGAAAATCACCTCGTTGAGATCATTTGCAATGAAGTCACTTGCACAGGCTGACAATCGTGATGAGATCAATATTCTTGGAAATGATGTCATTCCAAAATCCCAGGTCTGTTGGAAGCCTTCAGTGAGAGACAGAGTGGCAGGCACTACACTAGGCCATTCATACGTCCTTTGCAACAATAAACTCAAAAGCACCAAAAGACATTCTAAAGCACCCCTGAAAAACAGGAGCTTTCTTTCATAGGGGAAAACAACTGCGTGTACAACTGAAAGATGGGTTTGCACAAAAATAGTTGGGCAGATTTTCAAACCTATCTCAGTCTAGATCAGCGTTTCTCAACCTTGGCAACTTTAAGATGTGTAGACTTCAACTCCCAGAATTCCCCAGCCACCCTTTGTGGCTGGGGAATTCTGGGAGTTGAAGTCCACAGAGATTAAAGTTCCCAAGGTGGAGAAACACTGATCTAGAATGTTACTTTATCTTCTGGACCAATGAAGGCAACCAAGACTTACAAGAAGTAGAAGAGAAATGGTTCCAGTTAGATCTGAAATTTAAAAAAAAAAACAATCATAGGTAGGACCCATAGGTCAGGATGGAAAACCAGCTAAAAATACAAGGACATGATGCTTGAACAAGGCACAACTGGAACAGGAAGTTATCTTCTAGTGCTTCCTGTCCAGGAGAATCCAATGGTCAGCTTGGACAATAGTCCACAGCAGGGTTTCTCAACCTTATCAACTTTAAGATGTGTGGACTTCAACTCCTGGAATTCCGCAGCCAGCAGTTACTCATGCTGGCTGGGGAATTCTGGGAATTGATGTTCACACATCTTAAAGTTGCCAAGGTTAAGAAACACTAGTCTAGAGGAAGGCTCAGTCCCCTTCTCTCCTCTGCATCTGATGATACAAAGCAGACTACTTGGATCTGATGATCCAAATAGACCTCCATCTAGCTTCAAAATATTATACTCATCCAGAAATAACTATTTTTACACATGATTGCTTAGTGAACTGCTAGAAATGCTGTATTCTTGGAAAGCAGCAATAGCTGGAAGGGGCTTAATGAAACATAGATGACTCTGAAGAGCTGATGGCTACCAGCTGTTACACACACCTTAACTGGGGTTGCTAGTGTTATTTGACTTGGTATGTTGTGAGTTCTTTCTGCTCCCTCCACTACCCCAGGAATATTAAGTGGGATTTCCATAAAACCTATTTACTTTATACTTTACAGATTCTACTTTTAAAACTAGCACTGTCGGCCCTAAGTGTTATTTTTAATCATGCTTATCACATACTGGTATAACTAAATACAAACATAAGAGGTTTCCTACTTTCTGACCAGGCCATTGAGACATGATAAGATTGCCTTTAAAGATTCCTGAATTGGGAAAAATATTTATTTATTGCCTTTTTAAGCAAGTTGGAATAATGGCCACAATTCCTCTTTTTATCCTTAATAATGCTGTTGAGTAGATTAGGCTAAGAAACACAGCTCCAAACCTATGAAGATCCAGTGACTCATGACTGGATGGAGATTTGAACCCAAATCTTCCTTCTCTTAGTCCAAAATACTAAACTTTATACCAGAAAGGAACACTGTGGCTTCCATTCATACAATCCACATACCAGATCATTTGAAGACCTAGCAACTGCAATCGTAGAGCATGCTAACACTTTTTTATCTTATCTTATTTATATATCCATTTATTTATTGTCTTAAAAAGAACCTAACCTATTTGATTAGTTTATCAGTCAACATACAGTACAAACCCAGCAAATAGGTTAATTCAGGACCCAGTAAAGTGCCTGGTTTGGGGACAGCCAGTGACAAATATCAAGCCTTTTCTAACATTCAGAGAACAAACCACAAACAGATTAATCAGACTGAGATAAATCACTTGTGGGTATACTTTTCCTCATAAACTGAGGACAGTTTACAGAGAGGAAAAGAGTGAGGTGGGTTATATACATATACAGGGAGGGAAACAAGAACATAAGCCAGACAAATCAGCTGGAAAATCATCAGGGTTACCTCCACATTTTTTTTTTTTAAAAAAGGTTCCTTTTACACCTCTCGTCACAAGAACGCCTGATAACAAGCACAAAGGCCCAGTTTTATAGTAAACATGAAGGCTGAAATGCTAGTTTACCTAAGAGGTCTTACTTCCAAGAACGTCGACCACAGTCCTTGTCCCTTCCTGTCCTCGATCCAAAGTACATATTAGCTGAAATAATTTCCCTGACCCTCAGTAGAATGTGTTGAGTGCAATCTCCTTGGGGCAGGCCCCTATCCAGTTCCATAAAGCATCATACACTAAGTAAACAAGGAGTTTCCACATTACCTTGTGAAACACACCCCTTTGCACTAAACAGCTTCCCTGTTTGTTTTGCATGGAATCCGGCCAACTGCTAATCATTTCACCGTACTTTAAAATAACAGACTTCAGCCGTTTCCCAAACCTTGATGGCTAGCGGAAACAATCGCCATGATCATAAACATAATCAGAGCAACAAAGCTAAGAACCTTTGCATTTTCTTATTTTCTCTCTGCCCCACAATCACGCCAGCATTGTGCCATTATATTCCAGCTAGAATCATTGTCTAGCTGGAAAGTAAAGCTAAAAAAAGAATTAACCAGGTAAGAAAATCTAAAGGCCTCAAATCAAGTATTTTCAGTCACACAGAGAGGGGAGGAGGGAGAAATTCAAATAAATTACACCTGCCATCATGCGGAGAAGGAGGGGGGGGGAATAGTTACATCCACCAAAGGCTCAAAAAGAAAAGCAGACCATTTTTTCAGGCTCTGAACATAGCACAGTACAAGTAGTTTACTTTCAGATCATGCCAGCTCTTCCCCTCCCACCACTAACTTTTCTCACCCGCCCCCCCAGGAGCAAAATGTTCTGAAACAACATCAGTTTTGCCAGAGCAGCCTGCCCGAGCTGTGAGATTTACAAGCCAGGAAAACACCCCAACGCACGGCTCTTCTGCACCTCAATTTCAAATGGCGTTTGTTAGGTGCCCCTGGAACTGGGTGCCACTTTGAGTGGCAAAGAGGGAGGAATCCAGCTTTGACACCTTTGCAAGCGTGGAATATGCTTTCTGTTGCTCCCGTGCCTCTGAGAGTGACCAAGGGGACAAGGAGCTCAAGACCATCGCAATTAGGGTTGCCAACCCCCCTTTTGGCCTCTGGACCCCCCTTTCACGTTTCAGCCGTGTCCCAGCAACGTTGCCAGTCCCATCGTCATCGGCTCCTCTCCGCTCACCCCCGGCTCCCTGCCCCAAACCCAAGACAGGTGGGAGACATTGCACACCCAAAGGGCGCAGCCAAAAAGCACACCGCGCAACGAAAGCAGGTGCATTACCTTTTCTCTTTATTTTCCTTCCTGGACTTGTGTAACAACCCTATGAGCACCACAGCTGCTCGGATCCCTGCCCTGCTGGAACGCATCCTGTTGGAAGTTTGTGACATGGCCAAGGGAGGGGGAGGCTTCTTCCCAGCGCCCCCGAATCGCCGGCCCTTGGCAAGAGAGCTCTTATGCAGCAGGGCAGAGCAGACCTGCCTCCCTCCTGCGCGCCTTGCCTTCCCCTACACACACTTTCTCATTCTTC